AGCGCTTTGTTCCGCCTATCAGAAAGGCCCCCACCCATCTCTCTGACTTCGGATAGCCTATAAAAAGGAGAAATTAGCACTACTTGGTGAAATAGGTTCTTTTAAAATCAATTTTAAACCATATGCTAGAGGTTGTAACAATCCAAACGATCCCACTACATCAGGACCCTTTCGACGTTGCACAAAAGTCATTACTTTACGTTCGGCTAGCACTAAAAAGGCTACTCCTAGTAGAAGTGGTAGAATTATTCTGGCAAAAGAAAGTAAGCTAGTGAAAGTCCATCTACTAAGTAGTAATATAACAAGCTGATACTGTATTACACTGCACAAAAGCGGCTCATGTCCAATCCTAAGAGTGTGGTTGTCAGTACACTCAGTCTGCTGTTTTTTATGGCTGTTGTATCTTTGTAATTTTTTTTGTCAACTTTATAAAAGTACCTCAGCTACCGTTAAATTAAGATATTACAGTACTTAATGTACAGGTCTACCGTTTGCTTTTTCCTCAAGCAAATTTTGTTACCAATAGTAAATACTTACGTAGTAGAACACAAATCTCACTAATTGAAGATACTAATTAATGGTCAAATGACACAAACATAGGAAGTGGTGGAGGAGATCAGACTCTGCTTCAGGGTTATGGTTAGAATACTTCTCTGAATATTGAAAGTTTTTTTTCTTTTCCAAAAACTACTTTATATGAGAATTATATAGAAGACAACTACTTTTACAAGAATATTTCTTTCCATTACATGAACTTTGATGAATATACACGAGATATGATCGCATTCATATGATCCCAACCATTCATATAACATATAATTCAGAGATTATATCCTCAGAACCAAGTCTAAAAGTGTTACTTACCTCAAATTGTGTAATTCTTTATTCTGCTATGCTTTTACTTCATGAATCGGCCTCCGAACGCCTCAAATCTAGTCAAAATTAATTTGATTCAATCAATACAAATTATAGCACTTAATTCCACATGAAAATACTAATTTTTCAACAAAATCCGAAATTTAACTCAAAAATCGCCCATGGGGCCCACGTCTCGAAACCCGACAAAATTTACAAAATATGAACGCTCATTCAACCACGAGTCTAATCATACCAATTTTACCAAATTCCAACATCAACTCGACCCTCAAATCTTCAATCTAAACTTAAGGGTTTTCACAATTTTCCCAACTTAAAATATCAATTAAATACTTAAAAATAGCAATAAATTTGGGTAATTTGACAAAAATTGAGTTAAGAAAACTCACCCTGTTATTTTCCTTGAAAATCGCCTCTCCCCGAGCTCCAAATTGTTAAAAATGGAAAATGAGACGAAGTCCCATTCTTAGAACTTAAACTCTCTACCCAGACAGTTGCTCTACGCGATCACGAAGCACAAACCTCCCACTGACCAAATTAACCTTATGCGATCGCGGATAAGTGCACGCGATCGCGAAGCTCAACTCTACAAACTTACGGGATCACGAACTTGTCTACGCGATTGCGAAGTGTAACTTTGCGTGATCCTCTACTGCCTCACTTCCTCTGACGCGAATGCGACACGCCTCACGCGTTCGCGATGCATGAACTGCTCCAGCTATGCGATCGCAACCCAATATATGTGATCGCATAGAACAAATTTTCACTGCCCAAAATAATAGCCTACGTAATCACGGACAAGTTCATGTGATCACGTATAAGGAAACCAGGTGCAGACATCAGAAAAATTCCAGCAAAGTTCCAAGTCCAAAAATTGATTTGTTAACCATCCGAAACTCACTCAACGCTCCCGGGACTTCAACCAAATACACCAACAAGTCTTAAATCATCATATGAACTTAGTCGAAACCTCAAATCACATCAAACAACGCTAAAAATACGAATCATACCCCAATTCAAGCCTAGTGAAATTATGAAATTCCAACTTCTATATTCGATGCCGAAGCCTATCAAATCAAGTCTGATTGACCACAAAATTTTGCACACAAGTCATAAATGACATAACAGACCTATTCCAATTTCCAGAATCGGATTTCGACCCCGATATCAAAAAGTCAACTCCCTGGTCAAACTTCCAATTTAATTTTCTTATTTTCACTATTTCAAGCCTAATTTAACTACAGTCTTCCAAATAACTTTTCGGACATGCTCCTAAGTCCAAAATCGCCATACGGAGCTATTGAAATCATCAAAACTCTATTCCGGGGTCGTTTACACATAAGTCAACATTCTATCAACTATTTCAACTTAAGCTTTAAATCTTGGAACTAAGTGTTCCAATTCAATTCTAAAACCTCACCGACATGTCACATTATAACTATAAAGCATAAAATGAGCAGTAAATAGGAGAACGGGGTTATAATACTCAAAACAACCGACCGAATCATTACAGAAAAATTCTTAAGGTTTAAAATTATCCAAGCGATCACTATCAGTCGGGTTAACAATGTAAGGCTGTCTCCGTAAAAGAGTTCCCCTTCTCTCTTTAAGAAAATAGTGCCATTCAATATTGTCGGATGACATTTTCAAATATTTAGGCATCATAACTCACCCTAAAAGATCATCACTACATTATGAGGCTTGCATAGCTAACTATCAGGGGTGGACCTACATAGGTTCAAGCAAATTTAGCTGAACCCGCTTCGTAAAAAAATAATACTATTATTATGTATAAATTATATTTTTAAGAAATATAATACATAAAATAATAAACATTGAATCCACTTGACATAAAGTCAGGCGTGGTACAATGGTTAAAGCGGGTTCGTTCAAAACCTGAGGTCTGGGATCGAGTACTAACTTCTGCCTATACATTCAGCTTTTCTTAGTTATTCCAAAAATCAGTAGATTTTTAGGCCCAATGCCAACATATTAATTATTTGTTTAATTTTAAATCTCTGTTAGAGTATTCTTCTATCTTAGTTTCACACTTTTTTATTTGAATTTTTTAAAATATTTTAAGTATTATACTTGCCTCTTTCTTGTGGTTGACAAAACATTGAGTTTTTTATATAATACCCGTTTGATATAGTACGATTACCCCATTCGATTTAACACGATTAACATATATAGTTTGATCCGAATAAGATTTTCTAAGAGTATAATATATCTTGGAAAAACTTGATCAATTCTAGTCTTCTAGATAAGCACAATTTAAAGGGCAATTAATTAGAACTAATTTAATAAACTTGCACGAATTGAAGTCCTGATAGGACTGGGAGTCCTTTATCTATTTTTATCTCTCGAGTTTATGCCTAATGAGTCAGCACAATACGCAAAAAATGATACCTTAACAATGTATAATCAACACAAGAAACTGAGAAATCACAGAATACTGCTTGTATATAATGATTACTTTTGAAGAAAATTTCCAACTATAATATATATNAATTAAATAACTGACAAATGGAAAATGTAGAAGGACTTTTAACCCTAGTTGAACTCCAACATGTTCTAATAATACTTTAGTAATCAAGAACCAAACAAAAATGTAAGATAATTTTTTTGAAAAAAAAATATTAATTAACTAAGGATTTTGAAAGAAATTAGTAAAGCACGACTCCTCCAGACAGAATGAACAAAGGAAACAAAGAACTGAAGCAAAAACAACCTATCCAACCAAATAGACACGGACAATAATAGTTATCCTTGATTTAAATATAGTTGGTGTCACATTAGTTTTAACGTATAATTTGTACAGACCGTAAAATTTAAGGTGGATACTGTAATTTGTGTCATTCGCCTATCTTGGGTTAGTCCGAATTGATTCAATAGGTTTTAATTTGTAGGCAGAAAAATCACATCTCTTTTATCTAGAAAAAAAAAAAAAGCAAACCCAACATTTTAAATTAATGAAGTTTAGATGGTACAATCTTGGTATTTAGCAATTCCATCCACCATAAATCATGTAACGAGACATAACAAATGTAAAAGAAGCATATACATCTTTAGATTAACTTAGTGTTGATTTAAAGTTCGATTGGATTGCCTAAAAAAAAATTGATTTTCGGCAGAAATAATTTTTAAGCAACAAAATAAGGGAAAGTTTAACAAATACCCATCACATGGAAAATAGTTACCCAACCCCCACCCATGCCTTTTTCCTCCTACCCATTTTTTTTAACCTTTGGACATAATTTCCTTCCCCCCCCCCCCCC